TCTCAATCCCAGATCCTTAGAATCTGCAGCCTCCTACAAATCTCTACTGGAATGTTCTATCGGCCACATAAACTTGACATGTCCAAAGCTGTATCAAAACTGACTAAAGAACTAAAACTGAGGAGATACCATTCTTAGCCACTGGCCAAGACTTCACAAACGGAGAGCATTTCTGTCATTTCATTTTTAAGTTTTTGGGGTTTTTGTTATTTTGATTCTGGTTTTGGTTCTTGCTCATATTTCATGTATCTCAGGCCTAAACGGTGGGGTAGGAGCCCCTTTTCTCTTGTGGACATTGTAAACTGTCTCAAAATTCCATTTCAAATTCCCTCTTGCATGCCTTACTACCTGCCAGTGGCTGGAAAGCTGAAGTTCAAATGTCCCAGATTCCCTTACAGCTCAAGTTTCACACATGACCTACCTTCCACCAAGCTGATATATCTTCTCAGTATTATGAAAGAAGAAGTGATGACTGCATCTGTGCTGTTTCCTCTAGTAAGCTTGGTTTTGAAGGTATTTGGTTATTCTGCAGCAAAAGTTACTGAGATCCCAGTATCCAGTTTTGTGGTACTGAAAAGCAGAGTGTGAGACCTCCATTTCATGGCATGCACAGGGCTAAAGAAATGTGGTCCTTGAGCCAAAAGCTATGGATGCTGTCTTCCCAGTTTCCTGATCTTCTATGTTGTTCTGAGGGCCATTTCAAGTCTGCATGGGGTGCTGAAGACAGGAGACACAGTCTGAGGTTCACTCAGGGTGAGGAGATTCTAAGGGGGACTTCCTACATAAAGTTGGGTTATAATCTCAGTGTAAGGGTGAACGAGCAATAAATGGGTTACTCAGAGGAAAACAGAAGGAAACTTGCTAATGTCAACTTTGATATTCAGTAAAAGGAAAGGAAAAAATCTTCCCCTCAGGGCACAGAACAATTTCTTAAACAAAAAGTACAAAACATGAAGGAGATGACTAATAAATTCAACTAAGTACATGATGGACTTCTGTTCATTAAAAAATACCACAAAGAGTGAAATACAAGTTACACAAACTGGCCAAAGATACTTGCTCAAGAAAAACCAATAAAGGATTAGTATTTAGAATACAAAAAAAACCAAAAAACAAAAACAAAAAACCTTTAAGAAACCAAAGCAAAACCACCTACTAAAAAATAGGCAAGAAAAAAAGACACTTTTACAGAAAATACAAAGAGCCTCAGAAATAAGATGTTGAGTGCTAGTGACGACAGGGGGTGGTAAACAATGCTCAACCACCGCTTGTAACACTGTCAGCGGAAACAGCTTAGTGCTGCCCAGTGAGGCGGAGCGCGCAGACGCCTGAGGACGCTGCCGCATTTACTCTTGCATCTTTGCTCCCGCCCATGGGTGCCAAGGTATGTACCAGAGAGCTCACAACAGCACTGTTTATTAGAGCAAAACTCTATAAGACTCAAATGTCTATCAAAGGTGGAATGAATTATACACTGTCATATATCAATTCGCCGGAATACTACACCAAAGTGAGAACAAGCGGGAACTGTACTAAACATGGCGATTTAAGTGAAAGCAACAATTCCTGCAAGAAGACCCACTTACAGTGTGATTTCATTTACAGAAATTAAAACAACACAACACTTTCAGAAACAAACTTATTTTATACACATGTATTTTTAACTGCATAGTTAAATAGGCAATAAAGATAATTTAATAGGTGATAAATTTAGTATTCTTTCAGTATAGCATCTGATAAAATTATGTTTAGACTCCGTATTTTATTTTAGTTTCCTTTAATTAAAACTGATCTCTTGTTCATCGTTAATAATTTTTATGAAATGTTTCCATTTGTAAAATGTAAAGTGTTTCTATAGTTTAAAGAAAGATTGAAAGAGAAACAAATACCAATATACCCACTACTCAGTTTAATTAATATGACCACTACCTTAGAAGCCCCTTTAGGATCCTTGATTACAGACTCCTTCTCCTAGACTTAACAATGATACTGACTTATTCTGAAGCTTAGTTTTTAGTAGGTTTTATGTATCTATGTCTTATTTTGCATGCATATATTTTAATATTTTATGGAAATACAAACATGAATATAGATTTATTTCTATAAATATATATTTAACATAAATTATTTTATGTATTTTTTATCTTATAAGAGTTTCAATAGCTATATATGTCTATGTATATATAAAAAAGTATACATGTACATTTTATTTTAAATATGAAACTATGGTGACAAAAATGCAGATCAGTGGTTACCTGGGGCTGGGCATGGGTGCAGGACAAATGGGCCTACGGAAAATTCCTCATGTAAAGGAAAGTTTTAAAATTATAGTGATGGTTGCCCAACTCAAAATTTACTAAAAATCATTTAACTGTATTCTTACAATGGATGAATTTTATGGCTTACAAATTATACTTAAAAAGTTTTTTTTGTGTGTGTGTGTTTATTTTATTTTTTTTGGTTCTTCTGGGAAGCCTTCCATAACTAGCCCAGGGAGCAGTTGGTTCACATTCCTTTGCTACTGTACTTATCAAATCAGGATACACTGCTTGGCCTGTTTTCAACTAGGTTTAAAGTTCCTAAAAAAATAAAATAAAAAATAAATATAAAATAAAGCTCCTAGAGAACTAGAATTTTTTTTTTTTTTTGTATTCTGCATCACTCTCTTCCACAATCCATGCCAATACATCCTAAAGTAGCATTTAAAATTTTCTGGCTCATTAAATAACTATTAAATGAATTAATGATTCAGAGTTCTGCAGGTAAATAAAAGTATCAGCCACTATATTGAGAAGGTGTGAAATTGCATGATATCCTGAGAGAGGAACAAAGGGAGCAAAGAGAGGGTGTAGTTTAGACTACTTGCCCCAGCCCTTCAATGTCAGGTCCAATTCTAGCTGCACTGCTTAGAAAAAGTATCATCTGGGGCAAATTATTTAATTGTCTGTGCCTCAGTTTCCTTACCTATGAAGTGGAGATTATCTCCCTCAAGACAGTCTATTCTTATACATAAAGAATATAAAACATTTAAAACAATGCCTAATCAATAAACACATGAAAAGGTACCTGACATCATTAATCAGTAGGGAAATACAAATTAAAACAATAATGATATACCAGCATACATCTACCAGAATGGCTAAACTTACAAAGTCTGAAAAAGGGTTGACAAAGATGTAGAGCAACTGAAATTCTCATCACTGCTGTTGGAAATTAACATTCACTTTGGAAAACCGGTAGCAGTTTCTAAAAAAAATTAAAATATACCTGCTCTAACGACCCAGGAAGGAATACTGACCAATGAAGTTTAGGAAGATTCAGCTTGGAACATGAATGAAGGGGACTGTGACTGACTTCCCAAAAGAACCCTGGAAAGCTCCCTAATTTAGATTTTGCATTACAGAAAAAGGCAGGCATGAGAAGGCCTAGTTACTGCCTTTTAGGATTGCAGTTGAGATTTGCATGCCTATAAAGTGAATTAATATTTGTAAAGCATTTAGAAACAATGCCTGACATAGCAATGTTATACTAGTATTTGGTAAATAGATTAAAAAAAAAATACCTATTCTGTGGGCCCTCAGAATTCATTCCCATACATATATATACACACACCAAAAAAGAAAAAACGAAACACAAAGTCTTTTACAAGAATATTGATAGAAGTTTTATTCATAACCCAAAACTAGAAATTCTAATATCCAACAAGAGAAAAAAATTGATAAATTGTGGTATACCCATAAATGATAAATGGCATTACTCTGTAAAAACAAAAAAAACCCCCAAAAACTACAAATACAAAACATAAATGAATCTCTAAAACATCACGCTAAGCAAAATAAGTCAGGTACAAAAGAGTACATGCTGTATGTTTCCATGTGAATGAAGGTGAAGAACAGGCAAAACTGGCGCACAGTGATAGACACATCAGTATAGTGATTGTCCTATGAGAGGGAGGGAGGGAGGGAGGGAGAGGAGAGAACTGGCTGGCACAGGGTAAGACAACTTTCTGGAGTGATGGGAGTTTATACCTTGATCTCGTTCACAGCAGGAAGGACTGAAAAAATTTATCAAGTTGTATACTTAATTTTTTTTTTACTCTATGTAAATAATACCCAACAAAATACTCTTAGCATAAGTTTTTTTCCCCCAATTAAAATGTTTTGTCAGTTTTTAAGAAGCATCTGGTATGTAGTAAGTATGCAACCAAAATTACCTATTATCAATTCCAGCTGGGTAATTTGTTAGGGTGGTAAGGAAATAATCATGATTACACATGGCTGAGGCAAAAAAACAAAACTAACAAAAACCAAAATCTGAGTGTCTCTCAAAGAGGGGGAAACAATGACAGGTGATTATAGCCACTGTATTGAAAGGAGAATGCCCTATAAAGTCTACGGATTACTATCTAGTTTGTATTTCTCTCATACTGCCTCTTGCATAATGCTCTTAGAGCAGTTTAGGGATTTTATTTTTATTGTTTAAAAACCATTTATTTATTTTTTCCAGGATGTCCAATTAAATGCTTTTAAATATTATTTAGATTTTCCTATTGACTTTCAAATTACACATTAATTTCCTCTTCTAGGCCCATATCGAATAATAAATATATATATATGTGCACACAAATATATACATATGTATTTGTACATCTATAAAAAATAGGTTTTCCATTTCTTACTAGGATCTTGAACTTAATTATGACTAAGGTTCATTCATGGTGGGGATACGAAAAACACTGACCATTACCTTCAACTTACATCTATGATATTGCACTTCAAACTTTAAGGGCATGTTAATGTTAGCAGCTAAAGGTAAAATTAATTTTAGCCATGGAAGATGGGCTGCCTTCTGAATATCCCTTTGAAATGTTTTCAATGGTAAAGTAAAATAAGGTGAAAGAACCTAAGCCAAGTGTTCAGGGATAGGTGTGCACCAGTGGTGGTGCCCACAGCATTCGGATACTAGGAAAGTGTTTGAAGACTGGAGCTCACAGTACTCACCGTAATCACTTGATTCTCAAGATACTTCATCAAACAACCAGAACTTGCTATACATTTTTTACATTTCCAACAACGAAGAATACTTATGTCTTCTTGATTATGACTTTGAGTTATCAATTCTTCACTTCTTTTCATCTGTGGAAAAATTAATACAATTTTTAAAATGTTGAACTGTGTCAGATTAAATGTGATTTTCTAAACCGTAACCACAATATTAGCTACATGTGGATCAGAAGAAAGAGAATTATCATTTAGTGAGGTGCCTACTAGTTACCAGGTCTTAGGCTAGTGGCACTCTATTAACTATGTCCCGGATTGAAGATTCCATTTAATTATGATGATGATGCATTTTGTTAGTGACTACCAGCTTATTTTATTTTTGCAGAACATTTTATGTCTATTTATTTCCATCTTTCCCTCACTAAAAGTCATAAAAGGCAACTGCTGAAGGGTCAATTAAGCAAGTTAATGCAGTGGCTTTAAAAGAGTCCTAACAAAGAACTATAAATATTCTTCTAAATAGGAAGTTTTAAATACCCACAGCATTAAATTTGAAATATAATAGAATTTATTGAGTTGCAGTTAATTATGTGAAAATGGGGAGTACTTATTTTAAATTGATGGCAAAAATTCCTTATCCTGAATGCAGTAATTTCTCTTGTATATCGTACTCAATGGAATAGTTACTATACTACATCTTGTGGTATATGTAGTCAAACAAAAAGACTTAGAGAACAGCCCTACCAATTGTGTAGTCTATTTTTATACTGGAGATTTTATGTAAATAATGTAAATTAGACCATTCTGGCAGAAGAGTTTCACACCAATAAGGATCCAAAAATAGGTGGAGTATATTTATTAACTTGCCTGGTAACAGTTTATTCGAAAGAAAGGAAATGTCTACTAAGCCATCCATAAGGGACTGACTAACTTCCCTGGCCACATTTCCCCATTTGTTGGCTCTGTCATTTTTCATTCACTCATTCAACATTTACTGACAGTTAACCAAATGCCACACAGCGAGTCAAACTCTGGGGGGGCAACAAGCTGAGTAACATGTATTTTCTGTCTCGGAAGTACTCACTGTGCTACAGCTCAACAGTTTTCCACCTAAGATCATTACATTCACTTGGGAAGCTTTAAAAAATGATGCCTAGGCCCCACTCCTAGAAATTTTAACTTATTCGGAGATGGGGAGGGAGTTAGGAGTGGGCACTTTTTAAAGTATGGTCAGGGTGAAGACAGAGATGTATTACAGAAGCTATTAACTAAATTGCAACAGCTGTAAGGACTATAAAAGAGGGAACACTGATGAACCTTAACCACATTTAAAGGACTTAAGGAACCCTGCTTGGGGGAGGGCACAGCATGCTCCTCTTGCAGCCCATCTACCCCTGCCTGGGAGGGCACTGCATGCCCCTCTTGCAGCTAATCCCAGTTCTGTCTCGTCAGAGCCCAACTCAGTTCAATTGCCTACTCTGTTTAAACTATGTCCTCAATAATCTCAAGAATATCTTAATTTGCAAATGTCTGATCTCCTCCTGCTTCATGTCCCTTTCTTCATTGTTGAAACCCTCTCCTCTTTGGCACTCCTTTCTCCTCTCTTCATTCTTCTTAGTGTCTTATGTCCTCATCTCCCTTTTAACCACAAGCAGCTCTCAGCCAAGAGTGGGGACTTGCAAGGAGGGGTCCTATTAGAATTAATGATGGAGAAACTCCCTATCTGCCTATGTTCCCCCTCTCCCTAAGATCCACACACATCTCCCAGTGTCTCCACCCCTCCCCCACATATCATTTTTCCATGCTTTCTTGGGGTGCAAGTATGTAATTAGAAAAAATCCTGTAGGTGAGTCTAATCAGTATTCACTGAAAATCACTGAAAATTACACTGTGTGACAAGTCTTATATCAATGATTTCTAAATCTACATATCTGATTTTTGTCTTATTCCAAAGCTCTAGAGAAATAATTCCACTTCCAGATGTCAACTGCACATCTCCAAATGAATCTCTTTCAAGGGCCTTTGTACTGGCTGTCTGCTGTCTAGATCTGTGCTACCCCATATGGTAGCCACGAGTCAGCTGTACTACTGAGCACTTCAGATGTGGCTAATTTCAACTGAGATGTGCAATAAGTATAAAGTACACAGTGGATTTTGAATATTTAGTAGGAAAAAAGGAATGCTAAATATCAATCGTTTTACATTAATTTCACATTGAAATATTTTTAATATATACTGAGTCAAGTAGACTATTTTGTAAAAATTAACTTCACTTGTTTTTACTTTGACTACTACAGTTTTTAAGTTACATCTGTGACTTGTGTCATGCTCCAGTTGGATGGGACTTGTCCTGACCTCCTCCTCACAGGTGTGTGCCTCATATCACTCAGATCTGAGCTCAAAGTTATCCCTTAGTAGCATGGTTCACTCAGCACCTGGGGGAGTTCATTTCAATGTAGGTCACAGGGCCACATTCCCAGGAATTCTAGTTCAATGTTTCTACAGTAGGAAGTGGCATATTTAACAAGCACACTAGGTTATTATTAGGGTGATTCAAAGACCACATTTTGAGAGACACCAACCGACAGAATAGTCTACGCTCCATATGTCACAAAAGGTCCCTTAGGTGTAGCTCAAGGGATCTCTGTGATGGAACTGTTCTGAATCTGACTGCAGCGGTGTTCATATGAACCTGTACATGTGATAAACTGCCCAGAACTAAATACACACACACACACACACACACACACACACACACACACAAAGAGTGCATGTAATTGGTGAGATCTGAATAAAGTAAATGATTTGAAGGGTATACAGGATCTCTCCGTGAATCTGTAATTCACAATTCACAGTCAGATCTACAACTATCTTGAAAGGAAAAGTTAAAAAAAATTTACCACATGCATTAATAACTCAAAATTTTTAAAAGTCATAGTATTTTTACCAGTTCAATGTGCTGGCATACTTATATAATCCTCTATACTGCCTTTTCTCAGTACTTTTGGCTGCATACTTTTTGACTGCCTCTTTGTACAAGGAATATTTTCTATAAGGAGAGTAAGAATATCATATAGCCTTTCCTCTTCAAAAAAAAAAAAAAGCAAAAACCAAAGCCTCTTTACACCCTTAAAAATCGGACTCCCAACTGTTTCTCAAATCTTGGCATCCCCTCCATGAACACTCCACCAACACTAATGCAGATCTTTGTGCGGTTCACTAAAATTACTTTTTCCGTGTTCATACTTTCAAATTTGCTGTTCTCTCTTCCTATAATATCATTTCTCTTTCCCCTGACTTTATGTTAAGAAACTTTATACCCTTTAAGGCTGAACTCAAATTTTTCTTTCACAGATACTTTCCAGGAAAATACAATTACACCGTCTTCCATGTTCCCATAGTACTTCGCACACACCTCTATAGCAGCACTAGTCATGCTGCATTACACTTATCTCTGCGTACATGTATCCTGTCAATAACTACAAGTTCCTAGAAAACACAGTATTCTATTCAACTCTATATTCTTCCAATCAAACATGGTACCTGGTACCAAAAAAGACAGTCAATAAACATTTGTTGAAATCAAATCAGCAAGATCTGGGAGATAGCTCAGCTCACAAAAAGTCTTTTTCCAATACCAAGTGTTAAGTATGTCTGGCCAACTGTCAGTGGGACAAACCAAATAGAAATCCTACCGTAAAATGTGAGGAGCCCAAGAAATAAAGCTATGTTTATATATATATATCTAAGCTTAAAAGGAGAACTGGAGGTTACCCAACAGCGATACAGTGTAAGAGAGCTGAGGTGGCTTCTGTCAAAGAATTTATGCTAAAAGAGTCAAATATGGTAAATGAATCTATTAACAAAATGGTAGTCTTTAAGGGGAGTAAGTCAGAGGGAGAGACGAACCAGGAGAGATGATGGACTCTGAAAAACAAACTGAGGGTTCTAGAGGGGAGGAGGGTAGGGGGATGGGTTAGCCTGGTGATGGGTATTAAAGAGGGCACATTCTGCATGGAGCACTGGGTATTATGAACAAACAATGAATCATGGAACACTACACCAAAACAAATGATGTAATATATGGTGATTAACATAACAATAAAAATTAAAAAAAATGGTAGTCTTTAAATAAATCTGAACACAGCATCTTCATTGGCTGATAACTGAAACTCATCCCACCTCAACACCCTAGATACCAGTATTGGTTCTAGGAAGAGGCAACTGTATAAGTAAACTAGTGCAAACTGGTTTCTTAACTCTGTGATATACTGAGGTCCAAACAATTTTGGGGAACACACATCTACACCACATAGCTTTTTAATACTTTGAGGACTTTGGGGTAGCAACTAGAGTACTACAGAAGCAAACAAAAAAGGAACAGAGACAGGTGATCTTGGCAAATAGTACAACACAAAAATGAACTTATTGCCAAGTACATATGGCTGTCTCACAATGCTCAGAAATACTTACAGGGACTGTTCGCGGGGGCTGGGTTCTGAGTCAACAGATGCAGAGGATAAACTGTAGAATTCTGATATTATTGTTCATATGACTACAATGCAACTTACAAGTGCAGAAGGCCTTAAGAATTCAGGTATAGGGGTGCCTGGGTAGCTAAGTCAGTTAAGCGTCTCTTGACTCCTGTTCAGGTCATGATCTCAGGGTCATGGGATCAAGCCGTGCATAGAACTCTGCGCTCAGTGGGGAGTCTGCTTGAGGATTCTCTCTCTCCCTCACCTTCTGCCCCTCCCGCTGCTTGCGCTCACTCTCTCTCCCTCTTTCTCTGGCTCTCTAAAATTAAAAAAAAAAAAAAAAAGAATTCAGGCATAGTAGTCTCTGGCTGCTTTTCTCACAAATCCTATTCCTCATTTCTTACTCCAGTTCTGGTCAGATCAGATATATATATTTTCCTAACATGGAATGCTCCCCTTGGACCCTAGTTCTTCCCACCATGTCAGTCTTTGTCATGCTAACCTTCTTATCTCCTATCCTACACCTGTCTCTTGGACCAAGCTAGCTACTAATACCTGCTTGATTTTCTCCATGTTGCCTGTTCATAGATTTCCCCTTGGCTGTACTTCACTACCTATCCTGATACTCTCATCACTTTCTGGTATTTCCTCAATGCACTG